AATGTATTGAGAGTTATATTTGTATTACACTCCCTGTAAATCTATAATATCTATATAATCTAACTATAATTTAGAAATATATGAAAACAGAAGCGTGGAACGTACTAATTACAAATAGGTTACAAATATGCTACAGAGAAATTACATGGGATATAATGCTGATACAACCCCCAATACCCTTCTTGTAACCTACCAGACATACATATTTCTGCGTACGTAATGTACGCAAATATTTCTCTTACTATATATTTGATTGAAATGTTTTGCATTCGTAACGGAAATTTTTTTTTTGAGAAATATGGCTATCATTTTCTTTTTAATATGTCATCATTTTGAATTAAAAATATTGTATTTTTAATATATTTTATTTTAAAAATAATTAAAATTGTCGCTCAACAATTGCTCGGCCTTTCAAATACGTGATGTTAGTATTTTCTTCATGGGCAATTTATATACATAACACTCAAAACATTGTTATTTACAAATCTATCATATTTTCAATTATTTTTAATATTCTCACTCAAATATTAAAGTTATCATATAACCCTCATCTATAATTTTCATTATTGTAAAACTCTTAATAATTTTATAGTGGCACGTGTAAATACATCAGTTCGGTAGTTTAAAAATAACACATAGATATATATAGTCTCTCTTTAGTAAACGTGATGAGACTAAGCCATCGGGCAGGTGATGACTCACTATAATCTAATGGGTAACTCACGCCTTAACAGAAGAGTCCATTGTGATGTTCTTCAAGTATATCATGGTCGATCCTCAACATCCTCATGAAGATTATTGGAGGTGTCTGTGAGGTGCCTTGTGAGCTATTTTTGTTGAGTTGGATTGACGGCTAGAGTTGGACTGATGCATTCTATCAAATCAATTGAGTTTGATTTTTAGTTCAGATGGTCTATGTCTGGTCGGATCCAGTCCCTAATTTAGGGGCGTTGCATTTGGTCAAGCGAGTCCTTTGATTTTTTGCTAATAGGACTCTTAGTCTTCTGCTGTTGGGCCTTTTTGTCTTCAACCGGCTGGGTTCTTAGTTGTACGTCTTCCTCTTTTAGTCCATTTTCTCAAGATTTGTGATGACATATTTCTAATGTAAATATTTTAGTTTCGTGATTTTATTACTTCTTAAAAGTGAGAGATGCGATAAGAATAAGAGAACAAAATAGGAACTTTGGAAGAAATCAAGCCAGTGTAGCCACGCCTAAATATGGCTTGAACATGCCATGTATACGGAATAGTCAAGCTATCTCGGGTGTGGTCGCGTCGTGACCATGGTTCATGCAACAACTGTTTGTCTCGATGTAGCCACGCGGTGTTTTGGGTGTGGTCACGCCCTGTTTATCACAGTCCACACACTTGAAGGTTGGCATAGCAACGCCTAATTGCGGCTTAACAGCGCTGCCCAAACAAAGAGGACGACATAATTACCCCACGATTCGAGTGTGGTCACGCTGACGTATATTCTTCAATTGGAAATAATTTATGTGTGAGATTCTAATGATTTTTGGAAGACATTTGAAGGCCTTTTAACTCAAGCTACAAAAAAAAAATTAAAAAAAAAAACATTATTGAAGAGTTTCCAAAACTTTTTCGGGGATAGAATTCAGAAGGAAACTAGGGTTGGATCAATTTCTTATTCTCCTCTTAGTTCTTCTTTGGTCCATCTTTCTGAGAAAGGTTGTGAGAGAAGTTAATTATTGTTGTTTGCAAGAAAGGATTACCAATGAGCTATAAGTTTGTTTTTATTTTAATAAAAATGTTTGTTGCAGGTTAGATTTCCAAGGGATTTTTTTTTGCTTTTCTATCAAACCATGAGCAGCTAAATTAATTTTCATGCCTCTGTGATTTGTGGATGGATTTCCTCGCTTGATTTTTGTTGTGGATTTCTCGTAAATATTTTTCTGCACTTTTAATTGTTGAGTGTTATTGGACATTTGTTTACTCTATTAAAAACTATCGTGACCAACGACTTCGACATAAGCGTACTGGAATGATTGGGTTAACCACGTGATTCGAATAGAACATGACTATTTTATTACAGATCTTGCAACCAATAATGAGGATCTTAAAATTATTTTGGACAACATAAAATAAGCGAAAGTTATCTTTGTATAATTCATATTTTTCTTCTGACCTAGGCATGTGCTTAAGTAGGGGTGTAAACGAGCTGAACACGAGCTGCAAACTGAGCCCAGGCTCAGCTCGTGTTCGGCTCGTTTATATTTTGAGCTCAAAAAGTGTGTTCGTTTTCAGATCATTTCTTAGCGAGCCGAACACGAGCCGTTCACGAACAAAAAGTCGTTTTGACAACTGTAT